AGAGACTGTTGATATTATGAAATGATTATTTTGGGTAGGAAGACAGAACATTGACTTAGAAATATTTTTTGTTTACTTATTTTAATATATTTTAAAAATTGTTATTATTATTATTATTAATACATTTATTATTAATTATTTAGATTGTAAAGAGATTTTACCCAGCATGATACATATCTCAGTCCAGTTGAGAATACTATACACATCTTCATCAACAGATAACAAACTATGTCTGTGTCCCACAAATATTTATCCCTCCATTTTTCCCCCTAATTTCTGTTCCTGCACTCTTCCCCTCCCACACTCTCCTTCCAGTTTGTCTCTAGTGTCTATAAAATTTTTAGTGTTTTTAATGTCCCCTAGTCTTTCAGTCTCTACCATAGAGTGCAGACGGTCAGTATATGTTAAGTGGAGATATGCAATGTCTCTCTTTCATAGCCTGACTTGCTTCACTCAGCAAAAAATCTTCCATATTCCTTTACTTTCTATCAAATTCCAGGACCTTGTTGTTTTTTATGGTTGAATAATATTCCATGGAGTATATGTGCCACACTTTTTCAATCCATTCATCTGTTTGTAGACATTTGGGTTGGTTCCATGTCTTAGCAATCTTGAATAGTGCTGCAATAAATATAGTTGTGCAAGCACTTTTACAACTGAGTGTTCTCCTGTCCTGTGGGTAGATACCCAGGAGTGAAATTGCTAGATCATATGGTAGTTCTATTTGTAGATCTTTGAGGAACCTCCATATTGTTCTCCACAGTAGTTGGACCAGTTTACATTCCCACCAACAGTGCAGGAGTATTCCTCTTTCAACACATCCCGCCAGCACGTATTGTTTTTTTTGTTTTTTTTTTTTAATCTTCACCATTCTGACTGGGGTTAGGTGGTATTTCATTGTGGTTTTGATTGGCATCTCCCTTACAATGACGGATGTTGAGATTTTTTTTTTTATAAGCTTTTTGGCTGCTCATATGTCTTCCTTAGAGAGTTGTTGATTCAGCTCATTCAAGCCACAGGGTCTGGAACTCAAATAGCACAGTCGGCCATGAGGGATCAGTGCCTTAACCTCCACACCACCTACTAACCCCTAAATACTGTCTTTATAATTGATTTCTTTTAATGTAGATCACCAGCAGAAAAAATTTAAACACATTCAGAGATAAACTATGAAATTATTCTAGGGCTATCTAATTATGTAAAAAAGAATTTTGTAACATATATATATATATATGTGTGTGTGTGTGTAAATATATATATATATGTATATATATATATATTTTTTTTTTTTTATTGGAGAAGAAGGTTGAATTACAAAAATATTCTCCCATTCCAAGGGTTGCTGATTGGCTAATTATTATGTCCTTTACTGTGCAGAAACTTCTTAAACTGATGTAATCCCACCTGTCTATTTGGGGGATTATTGTCTGTGCTTTTGGAGTCTTGCTTAAGACTACCTCGCCTACCCCCAATGTCTCCCAGAGTTTCCCCAGTATTTTTAATCAGTAGTTTTATAGTTTGCAATCTTAGGTTTAGATCTTTGATCTACTTGGAGTTGATTTGTGTTAATTGTGACAGAGGTTCATATTCATCTTTCTTCAGGTGGATATCCAGTTTTTTCAGCACCATTTGCTAAAAAAGTTTTCCTTTTCCCACTGGATTGACAGGTACCCTTTGTCAAAAATCAGTTGGCTGTATGTTTTGGGGGTTATTTCTGGGGTCTCTACTCCATTCCATTGGTCCTCATGTCTGTTTTTGTGCCAATACCATGCTGTTTTGATTATTACAGTTTTGTAATATATTTTGGGGTCAGTAAGTGAACTGCCACCCACTCCACTCTTCTTGTGCAGGATGGCTTTGGCAATGTGGGACCTTTTATGATTTCAGACAAATTCCAATTGTCTTTTCTAGATATGTGAGGAATGTCTTGTAATTTTATAGGGATTGCATTAAACATGTAGATTAATTTGGGTAGGATTGCCATTTTGATTATATTAATTCTTCCAATCCAGGAACATGGGATGTCCTTCCACTTTTTTGTGTCATTTTCGATTTCCTTTTTAAGGTTTTCATAGTTTTCCTTATAGAGGTCTTTGACTCCCTTGGTTAGTTTTATTCCTAGGTATCTTATACTTCTTGTGGCTATAGTAAAGGAGATTACTTTCTTCAGTTCTATCTCTGTCTGCTTGTTGTTTGTATACAGAAATGCTATCGGGAACCAGCAGTTAGCGTAATGGCTATGTCGCTGGACTCCCACGTAGTCGACCGCGGTTTGCGTCCAGGACCCATTGGCTTAGACCCGGTGGCTGGGCACGTGTGCGTGCGTGCCCAAAGATCTTGGGAGGAAAATGGAGAAGAAGGGATTGCAGTGTGACCATCCCTCCTGGGGGGTGATTTCTCGCTTTCTGTCTCCATGTCTCTGTCTGTCTGGCGAGCGCACACGCCCTGTAGCGAAAACCTCTCCAAAAATAAAAAAAAAAAGAAATGCTATAGATTTTGGTAAATTAATATTGTATTTTGCCAATTTACTGTATGCATTTATTCGAGAAGTTTTCTCATGGATACTATTGGGTCTTCTACATATACAATCATGTGTTTTGCAAACAGAGCATTTCAACTCCCCTCCCTGCATTGGAATGTCTTTCATTGGCTTCTCTTATCTGATCACATTGGCGAGGACTTCCAGGACTATATTAAATAGAGCAGAGAAAGTGGGCAGCCTTGTCGTGTACCTGTTTTTAGTGGAAAAGCTTTCAGCTTTTCCCAATTCAGTATAATATTAGCTATAGGTTTTTCATAGATGGCTCTTATTATTCTGAGAAACAATCCTTCTATGCCAATTTTCCTGAATATGTTAATCATAAAGGAATGTTGTATTTCGTCAAATGCTTTTTCTGCATCAATTGCGATGATAGTGTTGTTTTTATCTTTCTTTCTGTTAATATGATGTATTACATTTATGATTATGTGTGTGTTGAACCACCTTTGTATCCCTGGAATAAAGCCTACCTGGTCATGATAAATAACCTTTTTTATACACTGTTGAATACAGTTAGCAAATATCTTGTTGAGAATTTTTGCATCTATATTAATCAGAGATATAGGTCTGTAGCTTTCCTTTTTTGTCATATCCTTATTCATTTTGGGGATTAGGGTAATGAATCGTTCCTAGAATGAATTTGGAAGGTTTCTTTCCTTTAATATTTTTTAAATTTACTCAGAGCACATATGTACTGAAAGAAAGAAAGGGAAAAGAGAGGGAAAGGAAGAAAGAGAAAGATTGCGTACCTTCTACTGAGTATGGTCATGGTATAATCCCCTTGCTCCAGCCCTCAAGCTCATCAGATCTTGGACACTTGCACAAGTGGCCAACATGTTTCAGGCTGACTGGGCTAGGGATTCAATCCTGTTGCCATGTGAAACCCAACTTCTCTTAGCAATGCATTACCGCTGTGTCATAGAGTCAACGCTTGGAACTTTTTGTTTCTTAAGTTAAGTCCAGCTTGGACTAGAAATGAAATAAAATTTGTTGTGGCACCAATTTAATGGAAGCCTGATTTTTAAGTAATAGTCTACAGAAGCCTTTTAAATATACTTGACCATATACAAATCTGTGTCTAGACTCTAAATGTTTGCAGCTAATTGAGGACCCTAATGTTGTGGGGAAGAGGTGCAAAAGGCAGAGTGATCAAGTTTGGGCACAAAAGTTGCAAGCAAAGAAGAAGAAGCTGCTGCTGAAAACCTGTTGACATAACCAACCATAAATTCTAGTTTTGTAAAGAAATAAACCCAGGCAGATTATTACAAGTGTCAAAACATGATTATGAATAGCCAAAAGTGTTTTATAAGCTCAATGTCAAAATCAGACAGTATTTTTTATTTGGCAGATATGATAGAACTAGGATGACCCCTGACACTCTCTACCTGGGTACCTACTTTGCAGCCCAAAGCCAAATGGTTCAGAGGCATGGAATCTAGAGTCCAATTTCTAAAGAGAATGTGCAGCTTCTTGTCATCTTTCATCTGCATCTATACCAATCAGTCTTCCTTTACTTTGTCTTGATGAGATACCTAGAGAACATCTCTGTGAATTGTGCACTCTAGTGCTCAAATACCATTTTCAGTAAATACAAAGCATGCAGGATGGAAGAATTATTTGATTTTCATGAGGCTTCTCTCATTCTCATTGACTTTGGGCATTTTCTCTCCTTAGTTGGGAACACAGGAACACAACTGCACAGTTTTGAATTGGGAAGAAAGTATGCAACTCACTCGGTTCCTTGGACTTTTTCTCCATTTAGTAAACAAGACAAATGAGAATCTGAGAAGACAAGGCTGAAGTCACTCTGTAAAACAAAGAGCAAATGTAAACCCAGATGACCCAGGTTTCCTAACAACTGATTTAAAGACCTTCTATTATATTGTGATTAGAAGATTCACAATAATTTACTGTATTTATTTACTGTGTCATTTGGCATATTGTACCCCTTCCCTACCTTTTTCACATTCAGCAAAATTTTGAATGTGGAAGAGTAAAATATGGTTTCGATACTCTCTCCAGAGCATCAGGTTTCTGAAAAGAGCTGACACAGAGCACTTTTACAACCAAATCTAATATAAAAGCACTGAGTATATGCAAATACAGCACCAAGCCAAATTTCAGAAATAAACTAAAGAGGCTATGAATTCATGTGATGCCATCTTCAAGATGAGACCTTCATCCTGCATTCCAGTTCCTTTCTGGTAGACAAGCCTCAAACAACTCTGACCTCGAATGGTTTCACCCCTGCTGTAGATGCACACCTGGGCCAGCAACAGACAGAGCGAGGAGCTCATTAATTCTCACATTTTTGGCAGTGCTTGTTCAGACATATATGCCCCACCCCCATCCTGTTCTACTTAAGTGTTTAAAGGAAATGAAGCCACAAAAAAAAAAAAAAAAAAGGAGAACAAAAAGAGATGTAACACATTTTGTCTCCTGCCCCCTACCACCTCCCTCCTCTCTGTCCTCCTCCCCACACAGAGCTACTCTACCCCAGTTTGGCTCTAGTGTGACATCCCTGCCTGTTTGAGGGAGGAATATGAGCAGGGACTGCTACTGCAGCAAAGTGACACTCAGAAGCCACAAGTTTCTGTAGACAGTCTACACTAGACCGAAGCCAGAGCAATGGCATTATCGCTGGAAGAATTTGTGCACTCCCTTGACCTCAGGACCCTCCCTAGAGTCCTAGAAATCCAATCGGGCATCTATTTTGAAGGTAAGCACTCTTAATTCCTTAGCTGACTAGAAAGTACTAATAAAGTGCATACTCTAAGTAATTGGAAAGGGAAATTTTAATAGAGAGAACATGTGTTCTGTTGAACAAAAGATGATCATAAAAGAGAGAGTAATTAACTGATGAATGGTCAGGATCCACTAGTGCTGGAGAAGGAAAAAAGTAGACAGGACATGGGGTGGAGGGGGAAGAGGAATCAAATGAATATTCTTGAGATTTTCTGTAGGCCTTTAATAGTTCAATGTAAATGGGTCTCATGCATCGAAAAACAGAAAAATACGTCATGACTTCTGATGACTCAGTATTTCTTTTTCATTGAAATTGTTTGTGATCAACAATAACAGTTTAAAATTACTTATATTTATGTTTCTATATTTGATCTTAGCCAAAAGGCCAAGATACGATTATTTATGTTTCCAGAATACTAAAAATAAAATCTGTTCTTTTTTTTTGTTCTAAAACAAAAGCAACTATCAATAGCATAGCATTTAGAAAGAAATATTTTTCAAGTTCTTAACCTCTTTTACATGTTACTTATATCAATATTTTTCTCATTCTTCTATAGCAGCCTAACTTCTTAAATAATGACATTTTTAATTTAAAGGTGTAGGGATTAATGTTTATTAATTATAGATAATTTTTTAAGAATCTATGTTGAAAAGTTACAGTTCAATTAAAATGATTAAATAAGAAGTTAGTGACTTTTTGTGTAACTTCCTCTGTTAATTCACATAAAAGAACATTAAAACTGCAAATAGATACTCTAGATTCTTTGTGTGATGGGTTTGAATACATACAATTCAGAGACTTTTTCTAGGCAAATATTTATTTCTGGTCCCAAGACTGGTAGAATTGAAGCAGTAGTTGGATCAGGTCCAGACAAACTACTGGGAAATAAAGAATTGTCGGTCACAAGTCTTTGCTGTTCATAGAAAAATTAATGTATTTGATACTATGTTATGAAATAAAAGAAAGACTGAGAAATGCCAGCTCTAGTTAACAAACACATTAGCTTAGTATAAATTTTGTTAATTCATTTGTAAGTTGGTTATTTGGAATCAGACCATGTTTTGTCACATACAAATGTCTCTGTTTTTAATTCAACCTCAAATCCTTTATTTATTTTTGTCTCATGGTTTGCACTTTGGAGTTTGTGTGGTAAGTCATGTTTAGGTTATAATGATATTTTCTTATATTATTTTATATCAACTAACAGTTTTATATTTTACATTTAGTTTTGAGTTCATTTCAAGGGCACTCTGCTATGAGGTCTACCTAAGTCCTATTTTAGTTTTCTTTATACATTTAACCTGATTTCCAAGTAACTATTACTAAGTGGGCCATCCTTTGCTCATTAATTTATGTTGTTTCCTTTAAATCACATTAGTATGAGCTCACATGTTATTAACCCTTCTCTGAAATGTTTCTCTTATTCACTTAGTCTTTTTTTTAATTTACTATGCTAAACATTATACTTTTTTGTTACTATGACTTTGGAATATTTTTCATTGTATAGTCAGTATGAACACCAATACTTTGTTTGCACTCTTTTTTTTCTAAGTTGACCTAGCTTTTAATAGACTTATCAAGTAAGTTTTTTTTTTTTAATCAGTTGATTCTGTATGAAAGCCAACTGGCATTTTTATTGAATATTATTGATTTTATGGATTAGGTTGAAAAGAACTGATATTTTTATATTGCCTTACAAAAGAACTCTCCATGTTTCCTACCATTATGCTATTTTTAAATTACAAAGTATGCATTTTCATGTTACCATTACCCTGGTCAAGAAATAGAAAATCAGGGGACCAGAAGTTGGCATAATGGCTATGTTGCTGGACTCCCATGTAGTTGACCACGGTTTGAGTCTCAGACCTTGTGGCTTAAACTCACACCGGGCGCATGTGGGTGAGTGTCCAAAATTCTGAGAGGAGAGTGGAGGAGAAGGGACTGCAGTGTGGCCATCATCCCCCCTGAGGGGGGGGGGTGATTTCTCACTTTCTGTCTCTCTGTCTCTGTCTTTCTGCCATGTTGGATGGTATTTATATAATCATCTATGGTAGGTAAAAAAAAAAAAGCTTGCTAAATTGCTGTTCTAGTTTACATTCTCACCAAATTATGTGAGCATTCCAATTAAAACATACTCTTGGTGATACTTTACATTATTAGTCTTCTTAATTTTCATCATTCAGGTAGAAGTATAAAGGTAGTGCATGTTTTAGTTTTCATCTCCCTGATGCCTAATGAGATTGAGCACCTTTTCATATACTTACTAGTCTTTCAGAAATGCTGTTATGAGCAGATTGTTCAAACCACTTATTCACTTTCCTGTTGAATTTTGTAAATGTTTATTATTAACTTGATTACATATTTGTATATATTGGGTTGTCAGGAAAGTCAGGATACATTTTTGCATTAAAAACATTACTAATCAGCCATAAAAAACAACAAAACCCTGGCTTTTGAGAAAAAGTGGAAGAATATGGAAGATTTACTGCTGAGTGAAGCAAGCCAGGTTATGAAGGAGAGACACTTTATGTCCCCACTTACTATATACTGAGTGTCTGCACTCTGTAACTGAAACTGATTGACCTAAGATTGTACAAACACAAGAGATGGGGGTTAGTGCCAGAAGTGGAGTGTGTGGAGAAGAGGGACCTAAGGAAGGACATTTGGATGAGGGATACGGAGAGAGAGCATTGACGGGATGAGGAGGTGTGGTGTTATTGGTGGAAGATACTCTGATCACCTGGACTGGGGAGAAATGTTCATACACATACTGAAATGTTCACTTTGTAAGCTAAGTAATATGACTGAATTTATATAAAAAAAAATTAAAATAAAAAAGTGAAAAAAAAACATAAGAAAATGCATCCTGACTTTCCCGACAACCTAATATTTAGGATACTGACCCTTTGTCAGTTTTCTATGTGGCAAATATACTCTCTTCAGAATATAGCTTGACAATTCATATCCTTAATGGTATCTTTTGATGGGTGGAAGTTTTTAAGTTTAGTATTAGAATAGTCAACTTATATTTATTTTCCTTTTGGTGTATTTTCTGAGTTTGTTTTTATCTCAAGTTCATGAAAATATTCTTTATTAGCTTCTAGAAAATCTGAGATGTTTACTCTCACCTGCAGATCTGCAATCTACCTGGGACTGATTTTTTAGGATAGGGTTTGAAGTTGAGACCAACTTTTATTTGATTCTTCTATAAGCCAATTGGTGAATGATATTTATTAAACAAGCGTTATCCTATTGCCTTACTGTGTTACCTTATTGATAAACCATTATCATACATGCTTGGTTCTCTTTTTGAAACTTCTATTCTGTTCTACTCATCAAATTCTTATCCTCATGTCAATTTCACACTTTTTAAATTAATGTAGATTTGTAACAATATCTAACATATACTTGATATTGGATACTAATATGCAGCAGAACTGTGTTTCTTAAACTTAGTTTTATATTAGAAATGCCTGAGATGTGTTTAGAATATAGATGCCTGGATCTCTCCTTAAGAGAGAAAGATTTAATTATGAAAGAGTAGAACCATCAATTAGGTTTTAAAAAAGTCTCCACTTAAAATATACTGACTGTCTGCACTCATGGTTAGAAACAGAGTGATTACAGGACATAGAAACTTTGAAATTGGTTATACATTTTGGAGACAATGTGGAAGAGGGTGGGAGAAAGGGAGAATGTAAGGAAAGAAATTAAGGAAGAAAATAGAAAAGCATTTTCCAAGTGTTTCAAAACATTTGTGGGATACAGAAATGGGTTATTATCTATTGATGATAATGTGTTTTGTATCCTCAACTTGACCGATGTGAAGTGTATTTATGTTGGGTAAATTCAACTTACAAGTATCGTGATGTAATCTATATATCTATATATATAGATGTAATCTATCATGATGTGATCTATCTATAGATACATAGATATAGATATAGATAAAGATATAGATATAGATATAGATATAGATATACCTTCCTGATGATTTTGACATGTACCCAGATTCAAAAAGTATTACTGTAGAATAAGCTCTTCCAATTTATTATTATTCTCCAAGTTTGACTCAGTGCTCATATGCATTTTTAAATTATCCTACTAATTTCCACCTAGGTGTTTTGGAATTTTGATTAGTAGTACATTGGTTTGGAGAAAATTGGTGCAATTTTACTGTAGGTCTTCTGATCTTTAATTATGGTATAGCTCTCTAGTTATATGAGACTCTTCTCATTTCTGTCAATAATGTTTCATAATTTTTACAGCAATCTCAAACTTTTTTTAGATTTATTTTTAATTATTTGATTTTCTCATGCCATTATACATGGTATCTTTTAAAATCACCATCTTTTCTTTGCTGTATTTGAGTCTTAAGAATATATCTTCATTCTGGATTTGTTATGTGTACATTTGTGTTGTTTATGAATATTGATGGACTTTATTTCTTCTTTCCAATGTTTGTACTTTTTTCTTTATTCATGAAAGCACAGGCTAATACTTTAGTATACTATCAAATAACAGTGTGGTAAGAAACTTCCTTCTCTCATTCACAATGACAAAGAGAAAGTTTCAGTAATTCACCATTAACTATGTTTGTTTTAACTAAAAGAAGTTTTGTATTTTCTAACGTTTTTTCAAAAACCATGGGTGTATGTTTAATTTTACAGATACTCTTTCTGTTACTTTTATGATATTTTTTTTCTTTTACATTCATTTTTTGAAGTTTAAACATATCTATAGTTGGTGGAGTAAAACAAATTTGGTTATATATCACTGAATTTACTTTGTAAAATTTTAAAAGGATTTTTGTATCTTTTGAGACATTTTATTGGTTTATAGTTTTTATATCTTGTAATGTATTTCTTGTATAACTTTCATATCAAGATAATTTGAACTTATATAACAAAACACACTTTAGATTACTTATTAGAGCTTAAAAACTGTCTCTATAGAGATCTTATGTATCTTAG